GGTGAAAACGCAGAACATGCTGTGGGTTCATTTTTGCAGAGCCAAGCTACAGATTTAATTTGGAGCAGTACAGTCCAGAGCCTAATGAATCCAAGTCCAAATATAGTCGTGGACGTGTCATGTTCCTGAGGAAGTATCTCAGTCTTCATGGCCAAAGAATGCTAAATTATCAAAGTTTTTCTTGGATCAATGCGAAACTTTAGGAAACGACTTTAATTCAATATGAAATTCATGAATGAAAACCACTTTTATTATTCATGAAGTATCCCATAAAACGCTGATGCAGCCCATAAACAAACTACTGCAAGGTCACTTTGCCACTTCCAACTTGTAATTTGATTCGGTGCCCTCACGCCTTCTATATAATCCTCATTGAAAGTTAATAGTATTTTTGTAGCAGCATGTGTTTAAACACGGCTGTAAACGCGGACGACGGCGTGTGTGGATGTAATGAAGTTTAATGTCCCTGACAACCTGTGTGTGGCACCTTCTTTCCTTCCCCATCATCACTGGATAACTTCAACAAACCTCAGAGACGCCGAGCTGCCACCTTTTCAGGACTTTCTTCTGACTCGTGTTACTTCCTGTACTTATCAAGTTCTCCTTAACTGGAGATTTCAGCAGCCAACTGGAAGATTTCCTGTAGCCGGTTAGCATATGTTGCTCATTCCATCTGATTTTCCTACCCATCTGATGTGCAATCCCCCCAGGTATGGATACTTGATTCCTGAGCGTGGTGAAAGTATCAGCTGTGAGAACCCAATATTGGCATTTAAACACCATAGGCGTGCAGAGGCGTCTCGTCTAGAAACTGCTGCAGTCTTTCGACCTGCAACTTAATACAGGATGAAGCCGTAGAGTCAGGTGAAATTAAACGTAAATCCCTGAAAGGGTGAGCTCTGTGTTGCAGGAAGTTTACGAACATCCTCCAGTAGATGTGACACACATGCATTTAATGAACACCTACAGTAAATCTAACCAAATCACCAGTTCCAAGGAGGTGCCACACTGTGCACAGGGAGTGAAGTATTAAAATTAAAAGGCCATGATGGTTTCGCAATTATGTTTGTTATTATTTTTGGGCAATTGAGAGCAGCTTATTAATAGTACTTTACAGGAAACTGTAGTTTTAGATCATTCTAGCACAGCAGGAGAGTCGACATGCGCACACTTAGTTTTGAGGTTTATTTTGAAAACAATCTCTTATCACAGTGTCCAAAGCCCTCACTGTCCCCCCTGATGCTGTACAAAAAAAAAAAAACCCCACCTGAACATTCACGATATGAGAGGAGGCTGCCAGAAAGCACTGCTTTTATCAGCTGTCTTTTTGATGGATTACATATCTGCAGTAATGATCAAGAAGTTGATTTAGTCTCTGCGGGGAACAGATTGGGAGGCAGCTCAGTCTCAAGTCCAACATTCAACACCACCACTGGCTGGAATGGTGAATAGTGTTCACTTTCTACAACACTTTTATCTCTATTAACATCTGAGTGACAGAGACTGGAGTGTAGTATCTCTGTGGGGGAAAATACTGCAAATTCAGAGTAGATAACAACAATAATAATAATAATAAAAACATAACAGGCAGCAGAGAGGCTGCTCAGATATTCTCCAGTAATTAAAATAAGAAACCTGTCTGTAACACAGTGACTACAGCAGCTGCTCCTCCACACCTGCTATGAAGATAACGTTTGTCGCATTGTCCCCAGACCACAGCAGATGACAGATACTGGGCTGGTTTCTTTAGTGAACCACAGCTAACTTTAACTATCTCCGCTATATTCATGCTTCAGCTGCTTCATGTCAGCAGTAATAGGGTACGTGCAGTGCAGATATCAGTGTTTTCCACGCTTTTTTTCTTTTTAATGGGGATCCAGTCTGTTCCAGGAATAAGGAAAAAGTAACAAACCAATGCAGCCCAGACTGTAGTGTTACTCAGGATTATCCACACTGAGATCATTGTCATTCCTCATGTTATTGCAATAAACTGATGTTCTGTTAGCAGTTGATCTTTACTGGAAAAGGGGAGGAAAATTAGATGATCTGATCAGATAGAAAGAGCGTACACAGGAGAATAGAAGGAAGGAAGGAAGGAAGGAAGAAAGGAAGGAAGGAAGGAAGGAGGGAAGGAAGGAGGGAGTGATGTAAAGAAGGAAGGAGGGAAGGAAGGAAGAATTCAGTTTTTTGGTGATTTTCTTTTTGTGTGTGGTCAGTCATGAGTCATTTGTAAACAACATCCATAGACATACAGTAGGTGCTGATTAAACTTGGTCCCAGTTGGATTTCTTTCATCTTTTGTTTATTAGCAGACTTATCTACTGTATAAACGAATATCTTCATCATATTTCGCCCCACATTACTTTTTGTTTTATCTTTTTTGTCCTTGAAATGGTGACCATCAAGTCACTTGAGCTCATCAAAGACCTTCTATACTGAAAGGAAGTTGTTTTTAGTTAGAAAAGGTTCATCAAGGTTTTATTGAACTTGTTGGATTTAGTTTTATACAAAAGTGTTTTTGCTTTTTGCTTTCTTTTACCTAATAGAAAAAAAGTTGACATTTCAGATTTGAGTTTTTATTGACTTCCTAAATATATACCAACTTTTCTGGAAATGTACTTTGTGGATAGAAAGGTGACCATGCAGGAAACGTTGACCTGACGGAGACATTGATACTGACCAGTCTCCACTCACTGGAACATCACCATCGGTCTGTTTACTGAGCTTCCTCCTGACAAGGACAAATACAAAGAAGTGTGTGTCCGTTCCACAGGGAGCTGCTGTGTACTGTACCTAACTGTATAGAATACAGCCACATGTTCTTATACCCACAAACAAACAGGCTCGTGGGGGGAAAAGTTGTTTTATGCTTGTGGTGAAATGTGGATGGTTGTGCTTGTTTTGTCTGATTGTTACAGTGTTGTTGTTGGTGTTTTTATTGACCTCTGTCAGTATAAGGCCTGAGGGATACACGCTCACATATCTCAGCAGCTACTCTATATAAAATATTGAGAATAGAGTGCAGCGTTACTTCGTTGCCCTGTCAGGTGTTCTCCAGCAGGTTTGGAGTTTTTTCCCCCTCTTCGTCGTCGTTGTTGGGTAAAGGGTTTTCCTATTAGTGGATTAAAAGTTGTTTTTTTTTTTTTTTTAAAGCTAACCTAAATTTCAGCTATTTTGTAAAATTATGATAACCTTTAACATTTAGTTTTATTCTTGGGACTATACTGGGGCTGCTGTCAGTTCTGTTATATATGGTCTGATCTATATGATCTATGTGTGTTTTACTGTGTTTCTGTAAAATCTGAATTAGTAATCTTTAACCTTACATCTATAAAATACAATATAAAATACTTACGACCAACTGGACGATGACCCCTGGTTTTTCTCATGATTAATAGCAGCACCTAAAGCTCCTTTTATGGAAATTTTGAAGGTAAATTCACATACTTTCACTGGATTTTGCCCCAAGCACATGCTAATTTCTGACCCTTGTAAGGATGCGTTTGAGAAGGCACAGCGGTTGGAGAGAAAATCTGTAGGAACACACTGATGGTCTGTCTCCGTAGCATCTTGTATTTTTTCTATCTTTTTTTTTTCTTCTTTTTTTCTTCGTCTTCTTCTTTCTGCTCCCTTTGTGGTCCACAGTTACCATGGAAACACTTTGGCATGATACGTTTAACCAAGGAGAGATGCATCTCCGATATTTTCCCTCCTCTCCCCTGCGATTGGGGGAGAAACATTTTAATTGACCAGGTTAGAGGAAGAGCTGGGCAGAGGGTAGGCAGCTGCCAGCCGTTGGGGTTGCTGTCAGTAAATGTTAAGTGGAAAATGTTTTGCCATGAAACACCATCTGTTTGTCCTGCTGGTTCACCCTGCACTGATCTCTGACTATATGCACTTAACTTTGGGTTCCAGTGTAGCAAATATTTCAGCCGTACAATAATAAGGAGCTCAAGCTTCGATTTTTACCAACAGATTAATTGAGGTTCAAGAGTCGGAGGATTTGTTACCTTTTCTTTTTTATGTGTTTGTTGTTGGTTCAACAACTAAACATTTAAAAAAAAAAAAACATACCAGAGGCACAGAAACCCATAGTTAATACTAGTAAATTGGTTTATAAGATGATGTTCAGAACTGGACAGAGAATACTATTGATCTCATGTTATTAGAGATCGGGATCTGACCCAGTACAATTTGTAAGTAAATTAAGGATGTGTTGTTTCAAACTAAAACGTACTTATTTAATGTGGTTGCAGCAGCAGTATCTGTCTGTGGTCATATTTGGTATTTGATTAAAAATACTGAATAAAATCGATGTTTGTTTTTTTCATGATGGTATATACAATACATCAGCAGCACTGAACAATACTCTCTGAGCTGAAAACAAAGAGTAACATTTAATAAATGTACAACAATGTGATGATTACAACTAAATGAAGGAGAAATACAATACTCCAATGTATCATTTTTGTTTTACCCAATAGACAAAAATACTTTATCAGCCCAAATACACCTTAAACTTTTTGCAAAGCTGAACAGAAAGTGAGCAGAGCTTTGACACCACTGCAGTGGCACATTTCAACTGAGAACACTGCCTCCTGCTGTCTGAAGAGCACTATTTCTGTGACAATAAATACATGAACTCACCTATGTTGGTATGGTAACAGAGCATGTCTTACAGTAAGTCACCTTCTTGTATTTACCCCTAATGTTAACATACCAGTGGACATTGTTGTTGTACTTCAATAACAATGAGACACTGAGCTGCAGTAGAAAAAACACATGCAGTAACACTGACTGACCACTGCGCAGCGGATTGTGGTGAATATCTGGTGATATATAATATCGGATCACTGGCCCAACAGTCACCAGATTAATAATCTAAATACAGTTCAGAAATTCTACAATGTTAAACGGTGTCCACAGAAATACAAAAAAAAAAAAATCCCTTAAAAATGTGTTTTTTTGAATTGCTTGTTTTTGTGTGTTTTTTCCCCCAGTGCGACACTGAACTGGAGTCACATTCAGGCGCCTCATCACCTACTTTGAGTCACTAACGTAAGTAGGCATATTTTTCTCTCCACTCTCGTTATTTTCTCTTTCAAACTTTCTTGGTTTGGATTAAACGGGATAGAGAATGTTCCCCGACATTGCTCTGGTGTACAGGTATTATGTTGTTATAATCAAATGGATTCTGCTCTCATAAAAAGAAATAAATAAAAAATACATCCAGTAATAGAACTCCTTCAGCAGTAGCTGCAGTAATTTCCTCACAGTAGTGAGCATCTTGCTTTTGGCAGCTCAGAAGCCTCCATTACACCTGTTGGAGCTGTGCTTATTCCATCTGATGCTGTCAAAAATTCTCATTATGCTGGACAAACACCATCCACCTCCTGCACTGTGCTGTAATCCAGCAAATTTCCCTCCAGACCTAAAGGTGGTGGTTCATAACAGGAGCGTGGCAGGGGTCTGCAGCGGTTTCCAGTCTAAAAAGCTGCATAGCATTACATCAGTTCCCAATGGTGAACACCTTCAGTGTGAACCATATATTTTTGATCAGGAAAGGAAACTGTTTTTTTGTTCCTATGTAATGTTCGGGGGCCAAACAGATGACGTTGACTGTCAATACGATATAAAAACGTCAGTGACAACAACAGCAGGTATTCAAGTTCTGATGGTTGTGACGACTGACTGTGTACAAGACGATGCAGAGATCACTGTAACCACAGACAACCCTCTTAGATACAAACACACATTTTATTATTTTATGTATCATTCGTTCTTTTGTTTGATATTTTCATACTTGTACCATGAACTGTGTATAGGAAAAGGACTGAGCTGTGTGATGGCAAGCTTTGGTTGCTCTCCTGCCTTTCCTTTATAGAGTGAAGTAATTGGTCTCACTGGAGAAATGGTTGGTGATCTGTTGTTGGTGAATTGTTGTACACCGTGGGCTGTTCAGCTACAGTACGTCCATTTGTTCATGTACAATCTAAGCTTTTTTTTTTTTTTTACTTGGTTGCAGTTAAACTTAGGCTTTATTAATCTATTAACAGTTACCTGCTGTTTTTTGCCAAACTGCACAATTAATAGCAGCTCTTTTAATTTGACTTTTAAAGGTTAATTCACATATTTTGACAGGATGTTGCTCCAAGCCCATGCTATTTTCAGACCCTTGTAAAGAAGCATCAAGGCTAAAACATCACACAAGCTCCCGACGCAGGTTTATTCCCATTTGCGTGTGCGTCTTTTATTCACCTCATATGTAGACATGTGGCATCAAAGTCTAAATCTTGCGTACTGTAATGGTACCCCAGGGCCGACGCGTCTCCCTATGATACTTGAGCCTGTATTAACAGCACATTTAGTACACAACAATTGCCCTTATTCAAATAGCAATTTTATAGCTGCTGCATAAGTAAAGACTTGAGCCTAAATTATTTATTAATACTGTTTAATTGAGGAGTAAGAGGCTGGGCCACATAAAATATGCTGGGGAGCTGTGATTGGTTCCCAGGCTGGACATTAGACACTTCATTGCCATCATTGGTTAGAACTATTTATATCCCATATATTTTATATTCCATTGTTCTCTCTCTCTCTCTCTCTCTCTCGTTCTCACATGCACACTCTCTCTGTCATGAAGCCTACGCAAGTTACCCTGCTGTGTAGCTAAGCTAACCACAGTGAAACTATCTTAATTGTAAAGGACAAACTAATGATTCATTTTCTTGCCTGTTCTCCACTTTGCTTTTGACAAATACCACATATTCGCTTCAATAAATAGTAATGTTATGATAGTGATTTTGATGTTATTTAAAATGAAGTGTCTTCTGTAGAGACCGATTTGCAATTAACACGTGACCCCAAAAAACCCCTCTTGTCTGGGGGAAAGTCAATCCAAATGAACTTATTCCTCCACCCCCTCGCTCTCCGAGTTATTTCCTCCTCAGCTGATGTGGCTGTAATGTTGTCTGCTTCAGTGAAAGGCTCAGCCTGTTTTCACCTCCTGACAAAGCAGGCAGACTTTTTGAATAGACCGGAGAAATAGGAAGGAAACCCTTCCTCTCATAATGGACTGTGACTCACTCTGCGTTCTCCGACGCTCCAGACAGTGAGGTTTTTTTTCTCTCTTTTTTGAAAAGATAACTTATCCAATCAAACTTTAAATGATAATGATGTAAACTGTGTAAAGTCACTGTGGTGAAGATCATGGCGATGTCAAATATGTGGCTCTGCACAGAAGAGATCAGCCTCTCTGTGCAGCCGCCCACACAAGGCTCATCCTGAATTTACTTTTGTTAGGATGGAATTAAGTGTTTTCTTTTAAATTCGGGCTTTTATAACATGAAGTTTCACTTCAGGTCAAGGAACAGCATTCAGATAAAATGAACTTTTCTGTTTTTTTGGAACCACGGCAGCAACACTGAAAGAAATCCTCTCTGAATGCCTCTGGCCTTGACCATTTAACAGCTCTCTGAGTAATTTATTTTTCAACACCCATGTTTTTTAATTTTTTTCTCTCTCTCTTTTTTTCATCTTTTTTTGGCTCACCTTGAAATGAATAGCCTTTCCTTCATTAGTGAGAATGGAACCTGTATGGTTGTATTGAATATAGCCCTAGGTCACAACACTCAAATGAACCAAACCCTATTAATTTGAGGGGCTGGTGGTGGGCTGGAGGCTGTGTGTGTGTGTCTGTGTGTGTGTGTGAGACATGTTTATGAATGCATGAATTTGCTGTTTAAATAAGAGGGGAAATAACAGGAGTTGCATTTTTTGTTTAAATGCGCACATTCTAGTTGTGAAGAGGTCAAAACCCATGTAAAAATTAAAAATAACCTAAAACCAAACCTCCATCCTGTTGGTGCCTTAATGCACCAATTAAGACAGCACCTAGTCCACTGCTCAAGCACTGCTCTAACCTTGCACCCTACTTCAGTTAACTATCGCAAACTCTTATACCAGCAGTAATCATGCAGTAATCCAGTTTGAATTATTAAGTCAGTATTTAACCTGTTTAGTTGAACACGAAAGTGTGATACTCGCTGGAATTGAAGAAAGACAGACAGAGAACTTATTCAACAGCTCCAAGTCCATCTATTTTTTATGCCATTTGCTTCCACCTAGTGGAAGAGAATTCCATTGTTCTGACTCTCACTGCCACATAAACGAACAAAGACGAAGATTAGCAGTGAATAAATTGTTTTCAGACCAATTTAGTGAAATAGGATAATTCCCTGTGGCACATGTCTTCTATTTTGTTTAGGTTTCTTTCTGGAGGCAAAAGCCAATTCTTGTGCTTGGGTTAGGTGAGTCACCACAAAATTTTATAAAAATGATACATTGTCACATATTTAACATATTTCTCCTCACTTCAGCTTTGACTGATTTAAAACATTAATATGCTGACAAATAAATGCAATGAGCCAGTAAAACAAATCAACCAAAATCTAAATGCACACACAGAGTTTTGGTGGTGTTAAAATGAAAAACTCAGTAGCTCCGTTGTTAGCCTTTTCTTGGCCCAAGTTTAGTCATTTAGTTTTTTTCGTTCATTTATTCAAAACATATGTGTCTGTCCAACTTTTTATTTGTCTCATTAAGTCATCACATATGCCCCGTTCAATGACTGGGTTACTTTATGGGAGTTTTTGGTTATATTTAGGTGGAGTGTTTTATTTCTGCAGCTTCCCTGGTGCCCACATAGACCTGTGAAACACTTAGCTTCTGGAACATGCTGGGGAACTCTGACATTAACTCTATGTGCCACTCTGGGTAGAACATAGAGTTCACGACCTATGAGAGTTCTCTGCCACAGTGACTGTTGGATATATGATAAGCCTCCCCACCTGTCACAGTTATGGAAAAAGTGATTGTGTCTGCTCGCTTCCTGTAGACACTTTTCCTTGTCAGGAACCCATCTGTGATGCACACAGAGCAGCTTGGCTGCATCTTTCTTTCCTACCGCGTCACTGTTAACACTGAAGCTTCTATAGAGTTTCCTCCAATACTTCAGTCAGACCTTCACTCTAACTTAAAGTAAAACTGAGGAGATGATGTTCCTCAGGCTGGCGTCTCTAAACTTTGAAACTGTCATATTAAGCAAAAGTGACACTCTTTATATATATATATGTATGTATATATATATATATACACACACACACCCCAGAGCAGGAGACGAATCACGTTTTTTCACAGTGATTAATCATGAGGTGGCTGTGGATTAATCATCATTAATTGTGATCACAATTAATCATCATGGATCATGATTAATCAAGATAATTCTCTTTATTTGTGAACTGGACATATAACAGGAGATTAGTGTCTGTGTGTAGTTACATTTGTATGTATATGTCTATACATGTGTATATATGTACATAGCTATATAGAGTACAATATACATATGTGTACATATATGTATATGGTACTCTATACGGCTATGTTTATGTGTACAGTATATATACATATATACTTGTGTATACTGTATATTAAAATATATATGTACTATACTGTATGTCTTTATTTCTATAATAATACAATATTTTTGTTAATGCTTAAAATAATCATCTCTAATGTAAAAATATTATCTTATACTGGGGTTAAATTATGCATCTGAAATATTTACAGCGACACATAAGAGAGTAAAGTGACAGCCTCACTGTTCTAATGACCAAAGAATCCTTGTTAAAAACAGTGATACATTTTAAATGGACTTACATTTGACAGAGCCTTTGAAGGTTGTTTTTAAATAAACATGATTTGACATTTTTTGTATAAAATAAATTGTTTTTCAAAAGATATCCTAGAATGACTACGCCCTGCTCAAATAATCCCCCCCCCCCCCATGCTTCTCCCACCCCCACAGTAGTTAATGTAAAAATATGTAAATGGAGGACCTGGCCTTTGGTCCCTCAGTGATTAATCCCAGTTTATGTCCCTGTATTTGTGGTAAAGATCTCAACTCCTGTCAAGTTTTTTCATGAGAGATGCAAAAATACTTTCATGGAAAAATGATTACTTTGGCTCTGTGCTCTCTTGATATTTATTCTCAATGG